TCTTTTTAGAGTTTCTGAAAAACTGGTTTTCCAGAAAACCGGGTCTTAAAGGGCCCTCCGCCCAAATCCTTTTAGCCTTTTTGCCTACTCGAGGTCCTCTATCGAATGATGTATGAACGAACGAAATTGGAGCCGGACACCTGGGGCGGTTCCCTCGTGAGAAGAAATTATAGAAAAACATTTTCTTTTTGCTTTCTCGTAGACGCAAAGACACATATGATGTGTTATCAGCCAGTCATTTGTTGATGCTAAATGATTTCAAGTGCGATTCCACTAATTCCAATTACTAGAATTAACCATTTGTCACTTGCGATTTTTGCTATTTTTCGTATGAAAAATACTTGAAACTCATTGTAATAGAGCTGTTTTGGGTAGAGCTGCCGTTTTCTGACCTTACTCCTCAAAATAATCCAATATAAACTGGCTTACATCGTATGATAGGCACATATATGAGCAGAACTAACGTTATTCCATAATTTATTCGTTTTATTGACGCTTTATTTCTCAGATGTCGTCAGTAAGTAACGCTATGTTTTCTATTATTCGGAGAAAAACAAAGAGTGATGTCAGATAAAACAACCAAACAAAAGCTATTAGCTTAGATAGTCCAAGTCTCTAGAATCAATAGAATCAAGCATAAGACCCTGTTAGGACTGAGGAAAATCATGATTGATTAGAGCCCATGTGAGAATAGCTATAAGAGCTAAGCCACTTTTGTTAATTTGCATAAACTCAAATGACTATTGATGATTTCTAATGGTTTTACCACTGTTTGCAACTGTCTCCATTGGTTACTATTGATTCCAATGCCACAGAATCAGCCGTTTGTGTTACATACTGTTGTCTTATTCCTTCGGATATTTCCGAGTGATTCTAAGTGACTTCAAGCGATTCTAAATGATTTTCATAGATTTTTAGAAATTTCAATGGCTAGCTCCAAATAGTTTTTTAGGATACAACTGTTGTTATAAATTTACGTGATTTTATTGATTCCAATGGCACAAAGGGGAAATAGCAGATTCTGTGATAACGTTACTCCTCCAGTTCGTCATTGAGATCGCAATAAAAGAAATACTGCTGCAGTAACGAAATAGATTGTCCTTATATTTCGTTACAGTTGTATTTTCGGTAATCTTTTACTCATTCATCGTATAATATAACGCTTCTCGATGATACAATCAAGACAAAAAAAATTGTCATGAGTAGAACCGCATGTTTTGATAATTTTTACTGCCACTGTGCTCGCTTCTCTTGATTGTCAGTCTCTGTTTTTCTCATAGTAGCCGACACAGAATCTTCAGACATTGTGTGTAGATCCTTCCATTTCTTAAAGCGTGTGATCAGCGAGCTTACGCTTCAAATCATTTGTTAATTGTTGCTTTCGATCACGTTTCAGCTTCTCGAATGGTATACCGGTCGGACTAAAGTTTGTCGAAACTGTGAAATAATCGTGCCGTTTCTCTCAGCGTAGATTTCTTCGTGAATTTTCGTTATCACCAGTAACTTTTTTCCCGAATCTTTGAAAATTCAAGTTACATTTGAGCAAAATAATCATCCGAAGCACTACTTTCTGTATCAATTTCTCCACAGGTTCTATAAACTACCTTAGTATGTCAGTCGCTTTTATACGCGCGAGAGAAAAGAGTCTCAGATATTATTATGAAAAAGAGTATAAAGGAAAAAAATCGAATTTCATTGTGTTATCGCGTTCCTTGTTTGTATGACATATATGAAAGAGAGAAACAAACGTAAGTAATGAATGCACATAAAAATGAATTTGGCGAAGATATTTTCTAGGAAAATTGAATCGACTGAAAGGGTCAATATAAATGAGATAATAATAAAAATTTCCCATAATTAGTTTATCTTAGTGCCATTTGTACTCAAAAGAAATTACTCTGGCATTATTTAAAAAACACGATTTTGTTTGGTTATCGTAATTTTGTGATCAGACTCATTTATTAAATTTTGATTTTAGTAATAAATCTTATGTTCATTTATGCGGTATTGAACAATAATCCAACCACACTAAATAATTTAAAAATTTTTTACTGCTCGGTATTTTTAAGATGTACTGGTCGGTTGTTTGAATCGTAGTAACTAGGTCATCGCTATAACTCTTACACAGTCGTCCGAACCATAATTACTGGATGGTCATTTGTACCATTTTACTGCACCGTCATCTGTAGCATAGTTGCCATATTGTAACTATATTTTAAATAGACAGATAGACGGACACTGATGAATTTCCAGTTGTAGACCTATCCTTTCGATCTAAGGAATATAGTTAGACTTGACCTTTTGGAAACAAGAGATACCGCTGTATTTTGGCTTGACCACGGTTAAAATAGTTCCACTTTATGAAAAGATAAGCGATTATTTTACCTTTAGAACTCATCTTGCCCACTACCTCTTCTGTTGTTGTTGGGATTTATAGTTATACATTTTTCAGATTGTAACATTGAAAGACAATGAGGTTACCAAAGATAACGTTACCCGAAATCTTCGTCACATATCAAAACAAAGTTTGAACGATGTTGTTATTGTATGTTTCACTGGTCACGGAATGATGTATAACCGAAGGTTTGCATTTGAATTAAAAGAAAATGAATTTATAACAGATGAAGAGATTTATACCAGTCTAACATCAGACAATTTGTCGCAAAATGGTTTAAATGAAATGTTACAAGAAAGTACATTTGATGTGTTACTATTAATCAACTCTTGTCATTCTGGTAAGATATGGCTACTTTCATATAATTGTTAGCGGTTATTATGCATATCAAACTGTGTGCTAACGAGTTTACCTTGTCATGGCATCCAGAAGTCCGTGGGAAACCTAAAACTTACCATCAGACGATGTCGTCTTGAAACATACTTCTCAATCAGGTTGCTAAAGCATAAGCTCTACTGATCGAAAGCAAAAGCCAGCACATACATAAATACCTCAGTCAAATCAACGCTGTAAAAAACGTCATATATTGGTCTTGCGACATAGTGTGCCTCTACAAAGTGAATCGATTTACATAAAATCAGCATAGTTCTCTTCAGAACGAGAAAGTTAATTTGAATAAAACTTTTCCTCGACTCAAATGGATTTAGAACTAAACGCGCAGATAAAAATCATTAGTGAATCCAACAGTCATAAGCTCATGATTTTTAGATTATTTTCAAGCCCGTTTTAAAAAAAATCTGTTTTTCAAAGACCTCCCAGAGAAAGATTTTTTTCTAACTCCTTGAAAGCTAGCTGGATCGGTACGAAACTGGTTCAGTGTAAAATAAAACATTGCGAAATCTTTCAAGATGCTTGAATCTACAGCCACTCAACTGTCATACAAAGTTCAACAATAACAGTTCTAACAGCTAAAAAACAAATTTCCCTATAAAAGTCGCTTCAAATTTATAAGCGACAAGAATTGCAAAAGTTTTTCGATAACTCGATTTCTGATGACATTTTATAAACCTTTGAGAAAGCTCGAAAGTATTCCTAAGTGCGAGATGATTTAGCTATGAAGCTAATTTTTCATCGACCTAGAATTGAACGATGATTTTACTTGAAAACAACTGTTTGTTTCAGGAACAACTACATATCCTTTGTGTACCTTCATGTAGTTAGTATCGATCCTAGGAATGTAAAAACTACTTCTATTCTGAGTTTTTCCATATTGAGTTCCATGAAAAACATTTTCAATACTTCCAAAAATAAAACTGGAGCGCAAAATATTGTTTCCAATGAGATGATATTTTTAACGAGCTCAAAACAGCGAATTCAAAGATTTTCTTAGTGAGAGTTTTCAAATGAATAACTCATAGAAAGTTATTTCGCTTTGCTGCGTGACCCTAATTGAACGAATCATCAGTGGAAAAAATGTGCCCTATTCTTTATTAATAACACATAGTTATCTTCTAATTCGCTACGTTCTTATTTTAAAGGTGGTTTTTGTCCGGCGTTGATGAATGAACACAAGATCGATATGAACAATCAGTTTGATGAATATTTAAGATTAAACCTGAACATTAGTCCTGAAGCTCGCACCAATATTGAAAATTTAAGAGATTGTACAGATGAGCTTCCAGAAGATTTTTGTAATTATATTCAAAACTGGTTTCAAATATTTGGCGACATCTCACATTCAGCTATGGTGATTTCGTCATGTAAAGAAAATGAAGAATCATCGTTCCTAGGCAGTGTTTCACCATTTTTTCGATACATTATTGATGTATTCAACACAGCAACGAATGTAACACCAAATACACTGTACGAAAACTTACAGAGGAGAATCCATGATATGTTACCGAATCTCCAAACAAACCTACATAATCTAGACCAACATGTGCAACAACCATTTAGATTGGGTCATTATGCTGGTAAGACAAGTTTAAAACCAGTTGTTAAACCTTATCAGTGAAGCGAAATATTACATTATATTGTGAAGCGAAACGTAACATAATCATGTAATTCTTCATTTTGTTCTTGCGAAATAAAAGAGCCATTATTCTTTAATTGATAAATATGAAAATAGTGTGATCGGGAGCGAGTAGAAGGGTGTGGAGGGTGAGTATAGCTACGACGATAGCCGGTATTTCGAAGATTGCTGATATTTTCTTATCAAGTGGCTAGTACTGACTCAATGATCCGTACAATACTCAGTCTACCAGTCAAGAACTAGCAGATCACTCCATTTTTTGAGAAAGGATGAGTATACTTTGACGTGGCCATAGTTCGCGAAAGTGCAGAATCGCTGGTGGAGTCCGCTGAACTCTACATCGACGATGCGATAGTAGAGACTGTCGTTCGCGATTGTTTGCGTTTTCATATCTAGGGAAGGCTTCTAGTCATTAGGTTATCGTTCATTCGATACTACGGACGATACGTTCGTGTCAATCTCTCAATCCATGTTCACTCATTTTGGAGCAGAAATGGTCGAGATGTTATCTGAAGTGAGTAGATATCGCTGGTATGGGAGTGAGATTATGGTTCTGGATGCTCTGTGTGTCGCATGTGATATTCGGAATCAGCATCGTCGACTACCTATAGTCCACTCGGTTTCGTTGAAAAAGCGATTTATCAGTTGGGGTACTTCCCTCGTCAGATGAATCAACAACCGCTCGATTTAATTCAGTTAGAAAATTTGGTGCTTGCTCCGCGCTGAACCAAATTGGATAAAAATTGGGCGCCAAATGCAAAATTTGTCGGTGTATCCGACAGTGGGTTCCTTATAATTACATCTTCACTTCTTTTTTCGCGTCGACATAATCAACGTGGTTTTTACCTAAATTTTATTTTCCTCATTCGTTGAATAAAATTTAGGCAAAAACCACATTGATTATGTCGACGCCAAAAAAGAAGTAAAGATGTAATTATAAGGAACTCGCTGTCGGATTCACCGATAAATTTTGCATTTGGCGCTCAATTTTTATCCAATTTGGTTCAGCGCGGAGCAAGTACCAAATTTCCTAATGCATAAAATATATTAAAGAATTTGTAACTTCTGAGAGAACAAGAACTTATTATAAGAACCACACTCAGAGCTTATTTATTATCGAAGCCGGAAGAAGATCCATAGAATTAATACTAACTTCGTTCAATGAACAGTCTGAGCTCGAAAGCTTTTATAACCCCCAAAAAATATCAAAGTTGTGTACGTCAAAAAATGATTCTCATACAACTATTGGGTTTTCATTTCTTTTTCGCAAAAGATACCGTAGTCTTCGACATAAGTGTCATCTATTTGTCTTGATTCTGCTATAAATCAACTCTTATTCTTATTTGTCTTTGGGAAACAAAACACATTCGTAGTTGTAGATTCAAGAGTTTATGTAAACGATTTATCTATCGTCTTGAGCGTTATTCATATTTCATATGGATATTTTTCAGAAGAAAATTTCATGTTAAAATCCACACCATCTCTTAACAGATTTGACAGAATGACTATCACTCGACATAAAAGATACTCGATACTAAACTGAGAATAGTCTTTGATAAATCCAATTTGATTAAATTAATAAATCAATTTTTCGGTTTGATTTAAACTAACTTTGACTTTGAAATAGAATCCGTATATGGGTGGGGTTCTGTTTCCAATGGTGATTTTTGATATGATCAATAACAAGCGTCAATTGTGAAATAGCAATCTCCGTTACTTTTTCAAAAAAGTAATCAAAAATGAGAACCCTATAGGAAGCCAAGTTTTCGACACATATGGGTCAAAAAATTAAACGAAATTCCTATTAACTTATAAAAACAAGAAAGTACTTACCTATATTCTTTCATAATTCTTAAACACAGAAAAAAATTATTATTCTTAAATTATAACACGGATGATGTTAATCAGAAGGCTTAGTATAGTAGTTTGTCTGTAGTTACTTTGTGCCTTCTAAACGTCATTTCTTCCTATACAAACTCTTAATAGACTTGTATATTTAGGTTATTTTTAAAGAACAGACAAAATATTATGACCACTGACTATCTTTTTTTTCTATTTGTGCGCCGTTTCAAAAGTCTGATGATACCCTGAGAACAAGATACTCTACCTACAAGTAAAATACATCCAGAATATTTTAATATAGCCAACACATGTATCGGTAAGAAGTGCATTTTCTATAGCGAAATAACAGGATGATGCTGTGCAATTGCTGCGGACAGTTGGCGTTACATCCATAATCCAACATGGACAAATCGAGGCATTATTTAGTCCATAGAATGCCTGATTAACGGTCAGTGTAGGAGTAGGTGAAGTACAACTTTGATTGCAAATGTCATGTTCATTGCCAAAAAACGTTCGATTAGTTCCTTCAAAGGTGAAATTTTTGATTGTTACAGGAATTGTAGAGAAAGAAATTGACTTACCTCCACCCCATACGCTAGTGCTTGCTGGAGAGATGGAGAGACAAGGAACTGGAGCGGCACTGGTCGTTGTTGACGTTGATGTTGTTCTTGTTGTCGAAGTTGATGTAGACGTTGATGTTGTTGTGCCTGAGAAGAAAACAATCTGGTATATGATTCTAGATCTTGATATTTTCTCTTACTGTCTTACTGGTTGCGGTTGATGTGATTGTGCTTGTAGTAGTCGATGTGGTTGTGCTTGTGGTAGTCGATGTGGTTGTTGTTGATATTGTGCCCGTTAATATGCTTACTGTCAGTGGTAACGAAATAGCCACCGCAGTCAGAAGACAAAGTGCTAGACTACTAAAACAAATAATTAATTTCCTGGTGCACGATCGACTAGTTCCGAGCTTTGGTAGGCGTCTATAACAGCGACGAACAGGTGAAAGGAGTCTATCGATACTACTTTGTTACAAGAAGTTACCTGTCTCTGATCGAGGGAAGTTTATCAAAATTTGTATGTATTAGGCTGGGTGCTACTGTACTTGATATCTGTGATGCAGGGTAGGTTGATTGACGGCTATAAGTAGGGTATGCCGGTTGACGGCTATAAGCATATAGGGATAGTGATTGACCGTATAATGGATTACTGAATAGCATTGGTCTGGCGTGTCTAATCCGAATAAGAAATTATTTTTGTATGGCGTAATAACAGAACACAAAAAAGCTTCGATTGTCTTTCTGTCTTTTTCTTCTTACCCGCCAGCTATTTCAGCTTACGTTAGAATAAAAATTAAGTGGTACTCTTGTAAAACAAATAGTTTTTATTACTGCAAAACAACTGTAAAGTTCACCTAAAAGAACACAAAAAAACAATTATGCTTTTAAATTTACAGTCTAAAGAGTTGAATGTTCTTCTCACTAACTGATCTACTCAAAAACGCATTTTATTAAGCCTGAGTGTTTCGTCCGTTTCATTCTACACATAGAACAAAAGTTCTGTTTAAGAGTAATTCTAGTAGTACCATTTCTAAAACATTTTTGAACTTTTGTCGCACCTCTTATTTCAATGTAAAATAGTTCATTATGTAGAGAACTAAATTCTTTACATGATCGACTGGTCCAGTCTTTATCCTTTTCAAAGCTGATCCGTGAAATGGTCCATTTAAGTGAAAATTTTAATTCTGTTATCCCAGAAACAGGAATGGGAGGGGGGAGGAGGGGCGATTATCTGATGGATCGGTTCATGTCTGAATTTCATCGACTAATTAAAGGGTGGATGTAGCGAGGAATATTTCTAGACACTCATCAGACCTTATAACCACCCTCTGAACAAAATTCGTCAAATCAAGTTCGATTAAGTTTCTATTAGATCGTATTTTTGAATTTTTCCCTGTCAGTTTCACAATTTCTTACGACTATTATATATTATTCGAAAGCTCCTTTTCTTCGCTATATTTCTGTATATCACATATACGAAAATAGCCGTTCTGTGGCCAAGTATGTTTATATATACTTCTGGTTATGGAAGTGTCGTCATTCGTCGGGTGATACTCATCCTTCGAATGACGACAACAATTATAAATAGGTATGCATCAGTTTGTAACTGATTTTGGGGCATCCACGAAAAATGCTATACATCCGTTATCAAGATTTGTGCATAGCTGCGCAACTTTTTATTTTGTAGAAAAATGTTTGCTCTGCCAAATGCATTTGTTAAAAAACTTCCAATAGTATTTCTAACTAATTTTGCAGCATTCAAAAATACATTAAATCACAAAAACAAAGCTGTTCAAACATTTTTTTTTCCGTGATCTGATACATTTTTGGATGTCCAAGCTTTGTTAGAAAGTGTTGGAAGTTTTTTAACAAATGCATTTGGTAGAGCAAACATTTTTCTACAAAACTGAAGCGTTGAACAACTATGAGCGAATGTTGATAAGCGAAGTATAGCAATTTTCCCGGATGCTCCACACCGGCTAAAAACTGATGCATATCTAATTACAAGCACAGGAGTTAGTCTCAAGCGCTTTCATCCTCACCCTCACCCTCACCCTCACCCTCTCCACAAAACTTCTAGTTTTCTCTGGAGGAAATTCATGTTTTCCCACACGAGCTTCGTGTTTTTCACTGAAGAAACCGATTTTTCTCCACAAATACTCCTTGTTGTCAGCTGAAGAAACCAATGTTTCGTATAATGAGCTTCATGTCTTTTCCTAAAGTAAACAATGTTTTTCCACAGCAACCTCATGTTCTTTCCTGAAGAAACTCGTGTTTCTCCACAAATACTGCATGTTTTTTATTGAAGAAACGTTTGTTTCTACACAAATACTCCATGTGTTTTCCCGAAGAAACCAATGTCTCGCTGCAGGAACCTCATGTTTTTTCAAATGCATGTGGTAGAGCAAACATTTTTCTACAAACTGAAGCGTCGAACAGCTATGAGCGAATGTTGATAACCGAAGTATAGCAATTTTCCTGGATGCTCCACACCGGCTAAAAACTGATGCATATCTAATTACAAGTACAGGAGTTAGTCTCAAGCGCTTTCAGTGTACCGGTAGAGATAAAAATACGTATTGG